TGTAAGATGTGGGTAATAAATAAAATACCACACTCAGTCTCATTACATACGAATTATACGAAACTCGTGACCTTCCTATGGTTTCTGACCTCGCTTTCGCTCGGTCAGATACCATAGGAAGGACACTCGTTTCGTATAATGCGTATGTAATGAGACCTCGTGTAGTATTCTCTATGTATCTAGTACTGGAACGTGCGATGAATTATAAAATATACCTAGTCTAATCAAACATTCAGGCGTCATATGAATCCATTCAGCATAACACAAAGACTGGCAGAAGCTCTTAGTTCATGTGGATGACAACATATGATTTGTTTGAGTGGCATTCTAGGAGTTGGTGGTATACAGATGACAAAACTTTATGGATGATCAGCTTCTTTATTTTCGCAATGGTGAAAGAAGTCCATAAAGTCTTGTCATCTCTGTTGACAATATAGATTCCTAGTAATAATCCACAGGTAAGATGACGAACTGGTTACTACTTCTGTCTTATCCCTTTGCCTATATACATGAATCACATCCATTGAAAATTAAGTAACATAGATTTCCTTAATAGTTTGTTTTGTTTACAAAATGCCTCTTCCCCCATATTTTATCAATGTTTTTACCAAATTCTAATTATTATCTTAATGTGACCACATATCATGTCACATTTCAAGTCTTTTCTTAAAAAAATTCACAACCACCACCCATGATCACAATGTCATCCATACAATATCACCAGTTTTCTGATGCTACGCAACAGCAATAAGCTAAATTGCAACTTTCGATGCGGTGATTCCATTTCACATACAATTAACATAGTTTAAAGCAAACACATACAGCACAGTTACACCACAATAACCTTGAATAAAGGCATTAAATTATACATCCCAGCAGCAAGTCCCCTGTGAAGCAGGCTGTATGATCGACAATAAACACCGGGGTGACTCCACACAATAATGTACTCCACATACAAAGAAGTCTCTGCTTGAGTAAATAAGTAACATCAGGCAGTCTCCAGACCAGAGAATATATTGAAACAGGAGACCAACTCAAGTCTAGCCTGATTGGGTAAGTCTAGATTGTCTGAAACGAAACAGTGTTCTGGTTTCCAGATTTAACCTTTTCCTATTTTGTAGATAATTATTCTGGAATAAGAAAACTTTATTTCGTGGACTAAATGTCAGTATAAAGGGCGCGGTGGGGTAGCCTAGTGGTTAAAGCGTTCACTCATCGCGCCCAAGACCCAAGTTCGATTTCCCATATGGGTACAATGTGTGAAGCCCATTTCTGGTGTCCCAAGCCGTGATATTGCTGGAATATTGCTAACAGCGGCGTAAAACCCAACTCAGTCAGTGAGTCAGTTTAAAGCAACAGGTATGTGGCGATCACTCTGCTTTACTCCTCTTTGATGACCTGTAACTAAAGCTCTACTTGCTAATCAAATAATATTTGAATAGTCCCTGCTATCAATGGGACATTGAGATACAGAAAAAATTAGTCTTAACACACGTTTAAACACTTGTTCAAGATATTTGTGAAGTGAGTTTACAACTTGAACAAATACTTTCCATTTATTCATTAATCAAACTGAAAACACTTGAGATGCTGCCATTATGATGGAGATGTGGAAGGCAAGCCTGGAGCTTACTTTGTTCTGCGGAGAGCTACAAATTCCTTGATCACATGTAGATATTCCAAACTTGAATGTACTGGTACCCAAGCAACCTATGACTGTCACAAGATGTGACATATTGGACTGGCTTGTCTTGCTAGACAACTTGGTAGACTAATGCTTAGTCCCTGAATATATATTTTGATAGTAACAAATAAACCCATTTAAATTCAAAAGGAGCCCTAGGGAGACCAGAGATTCAGGAACCTGAACCTGGGGAAATCTAGACTTGCTTCATCTAGGGCCGTAGCATTGCAGGGAGGGCTAGGCAGTAGGGAACATAATGTGGTTGAGGGACTGTGAGACAGACTAGCTAACTTGGTTGCCTGTCGTCATACCCCCGACAACACATTGCTCACAATATCACTCACTAGTTTGTCAGACCTGAGTAACTGACTGAGTATGGTTTTATGATGCTTTTAGCAATGTTCCAGCAATATCATGGCAGGGGACACCAGAAAATGGGCTTCACTCATTGTACCCATGTGGGGAATCGAACCTTGGCCTTCGACGTGACGAGTGAACACTTTAACCACTGGGCTACTCACTGCCCCATGTCAGACCTGATACCACTGCAGTTGGCAATAGTTAACGCTGCACAGCAACACAGTTTCATGACAGAGGCAGACACGTGATCAAGTCTGCACCAGACAAACCAGTGACTGACAGTATGAGTCACATGTACCACAGTCAGTTTAGGTTGATACGCAACATGGCCACGAAGTCTGACAACCAAATTCATTCAGGATTGACAGAACCAATTCTAACACAGAATCCCTCTAGGACAAAAAGCAATCAATGAAATTAATCTGGCAGCTGAGATACCCCACCACTCATAGTAATTAGCAGGTGACCACATCGCCACTACAGGGGATTGTACCATGGCATCAGCAATAATAGTCGGCAAATATAATTGCAATTTTTGAAAGTGAAAATCTCTCTGGCTTCCTATATGATATTTTATCAAGATAATTCAAAAACTATTTTTTCCTGTAAAATATTTTCAGCTAGATCTAGTCTATCACTGTTCTAGCTCACAATACACCATGCCAAGTGCAATATGTATACAGCAATCTTGTCCGCTTAATGTGTGTCACATGACACAAACTCCTGGCACTGTCACAAAGTACTATCTTGTTGCCAAAGAACCTCCTCATAAGCACTGTGCACTGTCATTAATATACCAAAATATGTGTCTCGCTTAACTGAAAACATCCAAGGCTTGATAACTAATGTATCACCATGGCAACTGACTTCATTTTTACACCTGGCATTCATTAAGGTATTTAGTAGGTTGTGGGGAGTATAGTGAAAGTACAGGTCTGGGGGTGTACAAATATAGAACTATGCAAGTCATGAAATTGTCTTCAAAGTCTAACAATAACTGCATTAAAAACATCTTTGTTCAGCTGGGGATCCACCCTACTAAGGTCAAAACATGTTTTAACACAGAAGTTCAAGACATAAATCTTATCTTCGGCATGCAGCTTCATCCTGGAATATTTTCATTCAATCCCATGAAACCAGTATCAGTTTTGTATTTAGTTCAAACCTTCACTCAACAATATTCTTGCTATATGATGGTGGTCTCCAAACAATTGCATCCTGACCAGGCAATCCAGTGGTTGATATTAGGACCATAGATGTACGTAATTCAGATACAATAACATGAAGCACCCAAGGCAGCAAGCCTGACCACCCGATCCTGTTAGCTGCCTTTTATGACCAATGCTGATGTAGCATCCTTAAAAGTTCAAAGTCCTATACTGGGAATCAAACCACAGCCCTGCTACATACTCCCCCTATCAACGAAAGGCACCTCCTGTCCACATAGTAGGGTACTCCGACTTATTTTGTTCCAATCTAATATGAGTGTGCTCAACCCCACATCAGGAGGCAATGTAAAAAGCAGCCATAAAGGTTCCACACCCATACTGGGATTCAAACCACAGACCTGAACTGAAGTTGGACGCCTTTCCACATAACAAGTTGGTTAACCCCAGGGTGATAAAGTGAGGAAGTGGGGTCAGAGTGATTTTTACTCTGCACTCAGCAATATTTCACCTGTATGGCGGCAGTCTGTAAATAATCAAATCTGGACCAGACAATCCAGTGATCAACAGCATGAGCATCGACCTGCGCAATTGGGAACCAATGTCATGTGTCAACCAAGCCAGTGAGCCTGACCACCCGATCCCATTAGTCGCCTCTTACGACAAGCATGGGTTACTGAAGCTTCATTCTAACCCGGACCTTCACAGGTAGAAGGGTCAGAGAGGACAAACAGTATAAAAACCAATATACATGATATAGTATTCAACCTTACAACCATATAGAAAGTCAGCAGTCCAATAAACAATTGTGTGCAAAGTGCAGGAAGTTATTTATGTCAATTTGTATACACCATATGGCTCTCATAATTGGCTAGAACAAATAGATGACTTAATGACACTTGCTGCATTCTGCAAATCATAAATATCAACCAATTAATTTTTTCGTATGCCCCAACATTGTCACGCAAAGAGAACAACATTGTCACACTAAGAGAACAACAAAAACACTGTCACACTAAGAGAACAATCGGATATACACATAAAACAATGCGCTCACACCGGTTACAATGTTCTAGCAATCAGGGCTAACAGGTCATACAACCTATATCAGCTGCCAGTATAGTGTTACCAACATCAGGCAATATGGAAATAATTCATACCATAACTATTTTACTGATCTCATTGTAACAGTTATGATCAAATATTATATCTAAAAGTTTCAATAAATAACCCAATATAAACTGTATTTATACCACAGCACAATAGATTTTCGTTCTCTAACCAATGACATCTGGCTATAATTATCTTACATTATATGCATGCAGAAATATGAATAGGTTTCAGTTGCAATCTGGTGAAGTGCATCACAATAGTACATCACAAACAACACCTTAATGGTTGAAAGTTCATCAGATGACCACGTTTCACAATGATTAACCTTCTTAAAAAACATAACTTGCATATAACATAATTATTAATTGTTTACAAAGTTTATTTTTTAATACAGTTGATACATAGGCAAATCATAGGGTACGATTTTGAACAGTATGACATCTATAGTGAGAATATACAGTCCCTCTTATGAATGAACTGCCTATAAGCCTATAATGAACTGTGAGCATTATACTGGGTTATGGTAATCACGGTAATGCAAAACATGAGCAGAGTATAGATTGCTGGTAAATACGTGACCACGAGAAACATACAGTTGGCACATTTTGAATAGATGATTTTGCGTGCATAAAAGTATGATCTGCAATAAATAAAAATGCGAATAAAAAACAACATACCGTAGGTCTCTTCCACTCAAATGGCCTTGGGGGAGCACGACTGAAGAATATCGATGAATCGACTGTTGGGAATTCGGGATCCTCGAAAAGTATTCCTTCTTGCAGGCACTTTCTCTTTATATCATCGTATTTTTGGTTGACAACCCCAGCAAACGGATTCTTCTTTTCTTTCCTTGTAGCTCTTCCCCCGATATCTGGCTCCCGGCTGCAGTGACGGCCATGGCCCCCCGGCCCAGCCCCACCCCCACCCCGGGTAAAGCCTGAGAAGCGGTATCCCCCAGGGATGGAGAATCCTCCGGATGAGCTGCCACCACCCCCAGCGTCACCACCCCCAGCGTCACCACCCTGGGTAAAACGCATCCCCCTGTCACCAAAGGTACTTCCAAAGCCAATGTTGAACTCTCCACCTCCCATACCAATGCTTGGACCACCGTCTCCTCCGAACGAGTATGTTTTCGTCTCCATCTTCGGGGGTCCCGATCCATCTGAGAAAAATGTTTTCACCGTGCGTGTGCCGCTGCTAAACATGTTGCCACTATTTACTTTATCAAACTATTAATATGTAAAGTATGAACTTGATGAATGCACAGCGACACTGGGCGACTATCAGTAGTGTTGACAAAGCTGGAACACGGTCTCCGTCGGGATCACTCTCGACTACCGGCTTCTCAGATCTAGAATGGAAGAGTCCAAGAGCGGGGGTGGGCAGGACTGAAACTCGATGCCTTCGATTACTGCTTCACCTTCGGCAATTTATCATAAACATATGAGAGTTCGTTCAGTGTGTGCCTGATGTTGGCCAGATTTTATGAATCACCCGAAAATATAGCCACGTTGTTACTTTCAGTATGAATGTGATTGCCGGCTATCGTATTTTCCAATACCTGTCTCTGCGACCAAAACCCGGCACTGGAACAATGGGCGTGTCCATGCGCTTGCTGTCTTGCAAGGCCAGACCGTATAAGGCTGAGGGAGCGCCGGGGAGTCATCGAACCATGGAATGGTCAGGGGAATCGCTCTAATACGGCTAATGACGGGATTTCTGATATAATAAGTTGTAAGAAATGCGTAAAAGCCGCACAGTGAGTGAATGGAATAATCCCACACTCAGTCCAATGTTACAATACATTACTGGCTGATTAGTATGTAGTGCTCCCTCGCAGAGACACTAAACATAGTGGGTGCTCTGAAGCGTTTCATAATCAAACACTTAATCAGACTTCTACCAGGATACGAAGTTTTTACACAGGCCACCGATAACTCTCCATGATATTTTAAATGAAACAAAAAGTACGAAATAATCTGATCTTGTAGATTTTACGAGTGGTTTAACACAAACGTTGTTAAGTATTTCCTTTTATTGTGACGACGTTTCATGGGTTTTTTCCGCCACGATCAAGTAAATGCTTACTAAGTGACCATTTATTGGTCAGCCCTAAAACTGGAGAGACATACTCATAAAACGTTGTACATGTAAGTGGCGGATCCAGAGGGGTGGGGTGGTGGTGGTGATGGTGATGGTGGGGATCCAGGGGGTTCGACACCCCCTTTTTTTAAAAATGACTTAAGATCACATTGAAGATTATTTTTATTTGCGTTGGCGGAGCCAATGGGGGATTCCCCTTGGACCCCCTCCTTTCAAAATTCCTGGATCCGCCCATGCATTTACATGCGCATGCAGTATGAGAAATGTACATGGTCGTATGTAAAACAATAAAACGGGAATGTGACCAGGCTAAGAAACTTACGAGACATTTTAAACATATGATGAATTAAGACAACAGCAAATATTGAGTCAACATTTAGTCATGCACTGAACGTACTCAAATCTATTCAAAGTAGTTATACAAACAGTACACCAGGCATGGTATACGAGATTTATCAAGCACATATACTGAGTCAAACAAGAAACTTCACATTCTTTCTTCGGGGCACTATAAAAGAACAAGAGATGGTAAGATGGTTAAATTGTTATTATTGCATTGCTGAGATCTGTGTGATGTACTCGATACACTGACAGTGCCATAATCAGTTCCATTAGGCTACACCGCCGTTCCAAAACAAAGGGATGCAGAATGGCAAGTCACAAGAATAAAAATGCGAAATTTCTCAGTTCAATATCGTGTATGGCCGCCCCGCGCATTCACCACTGCCAAACACCGTCTCTTCATCGACTGCCTGATGCTTGTGAACACGTGGTTGGGGATTCTGCGCCACTGCTCTTGCAAGGCAGCGCCAAGTTCCTGCAAATTCTGAGGTTGGTTCCTAAGACCACGAAGCCGTCTCCCAAGTGCATCCCAAACGTGCTGTATTGGATTAAGGTCAGGGGACCTCGATGGCCAGTCCATGGCGTTGATTCCAGCGTTTTGAAGTAAATTTCGTGTCAACAACGCGGTATGCGGCCGAGCATTATCATGCTGGAACTGTAGACCTGGGCCATGAGCCGCCATGAAAGGACCGAGTTCAGGGGTGAGCACCTGGTCGCGGTAAGCAGCAGCTGTGAGGTTTCCACGGATGACCAGAAGTCGGGAACGGTTGTTCCCACAGAAAGCACCCCACACCATGCAACTTCCGCCCCCGAATCTGTCGACTTCCTGTACACAACATTGGGAATAGCGTTCACGACGTCGTCTCCAGACTCTATGCCTGCCGTCCGCGAATCTGAGGGTAAACCTGGATTCATCGCTAAAAACGACTCGATTCCAGTCTCTCTGGGTCCATCGGAGGTGACGTTGGGCCCACAGCAGACGTTGACGTTGATGAAACGGCGTCAATATTGGCCCACGATATGGACGTCGAGAATGGAGATTGGCAGCCTGCAACCGATTTCGAATGGTCTGTGAGGACAGTCGACCTCTAAACATCTCAGCCCTGGTTCGTGTAGCCGGCAGAGATCTGTCACGTAGGTGACGTAGGACGATTTGACGGTCTTCTGCTCGTGACGTCACACGTGGACGACCCAACCTTGGGCGATCAGAAGTGGTGCCAGTTTGTTGTAGACGACCTCGCAAGTCATACACATTACGACGGCTGCATCCCATTGCTCTTGCGACGTCAATAACTGATCTTCCCGCTTGCAACATGCCAACGGCACGTTCACGTTGCACATTTGACAATCGTGGCATTTCAAGTACCGTTAGAACTGTGGTTTAAAAGTGTTTTTTCAATTCTTGAGGCCAATGCAAACACGTGCATATGAAGAAACTTCGATGCGAAGATCATTGATCGACTGCACGTGCAAAACCTGATTTGGCACTAACGTCACTTCCACGACGAATGGATGGGTTTGAGTGGGTTTTGCTAACGTTTTTCTAGAGTCGAAAGATAGGGATCCCATATCGGATACATAGATGTATCATCAGAGAAAAATTATTCATTATTTTTCAAATTACATTTTGTGAAGGTTCGATTTTGACTCAGTATATTTTGCTACGCTCGTCCTTGCCCAGTAATATCCACTCATTGTCCTTGTGAGGTAACGCACACCATTTTCAGTTGTTACTTTATGCTGTAGTTATATCCATAACAAGAAACGCTTGGTATTCAGTACTTCAAATATCACGAAGCCCATCTGCTAGAATTATGAATGTCGTTATTGTCGTCAGCTCCCACGGGCTTATTCTTTGTTGAAACCCAGGAGAACGGGTTGACGCTGACAGACCCAGAAACGTAATCAAGCCGCACCATGATTCGAACCCACGATCATATAGGTTCTGGCCTGTAAAAGGGACGCAACTCTAGATCTGCAAAGGTTGTTCGTCGGTCGTTGCACTCAGCAATACCCCAGGTGTATGTCGACAGTCTGGAAATAATCGAGTCTGGACCAGACAGTCCAGTGATTAACATCTTGAGCAACACAGCTGGGATATGACGACATGTGTCAACCAAGTCAGCGAGTCTGACCACCCGATCCTGTAAGTCGCCTCTTACAACAAGCATGGGTTGCTGAAGACCAATTCTAAGTCGGATTTTCACGGGTAAGTCTGAAATTAATTTTTCGCACCTTAGGCGACTGGGCAGTTTAAATTCATATGGTGGCAAACCATATTTTGATGATACGAAATCTAATATGTATGTCAGGTACATAAAGAACCAATACTGATGCATACAGTGAATATGTCATACCTATCACACCCAAAGTAATGTACGTCTTCTTTCACCTCTTTGGTGAAGCCTAGCTGGCTCGGGTATGGTGTTGGTGAAATAGGAATCCTATTCAGGACGGATTTTACGTTTGAACGCACAGCCACAACTTCGTGGAACAGAGATGTTATAAATAAACTTTACGCCCACTTACCTGAGGAGGTTTTTAAATAAATGTTGCTTGGTAAAACACGTGTGCCTCAAACCATGCGGTCATGAAATACACTCTTCAAAAAAGGATACGCATAGACCCAAAATAAGGAAATGTATTACACGCATTTAAGTAAACACAAGTCGATTAAGCTTGAACATAGATGAAGTTAATTCGACACACGGATGAGCATATGGATTGTTGACATTGTCAGTTGGCATTAATTGTTATTGTTGCCATTGGCATTAATTCAGTTCACTCACTGCACGTGTGAACACAAGGGTCGGTCATGTCAGTACCTGGTGACACCACCCCTTCAGCCGTCACTGCTCAACACCGCCTAGGAAGGGATTGCACAAGTCGTCGAATACTTGCTTGGGGAATTCTTCGCCATTCTTCCTGCAACGCGTTGGCAAGTTCTACAAGGATCTGAGGACGATGGTGACGTTTACGGACGCGTCGATCAATTTCGTACCATAGATGCTCGATCGGGTTCAGATCAGACGATTTGGAAGGCCAGGGAGGGACATTGACGTTTGCATTGGCGAGATAGACACCTGTTACGCGAGCTGTGTGGGGTCGAGCGTTGTCGTGTTGAAACAGCTCCCTCTGGCGGTTAAAACGTGGGAGGAGGGGAGGCCGCAGGATTTGGTCCATGTAGCGATTTGCTGTAAGATTGCCTTGAACGACCACTAGCTCTGATCTACCCGTGTAGGACATGGCTCCCCACACCATGACGCTTTCCCCACAAAATCTGTCCACCTTTCGAACGCAGTTCGGCGCAAAACGTTCGTGTTAACGTCTACAGACACGTTGTCTCCCATCCCATCCCAATGACATGTGTCAACCAAGTCAGCGAGCCTGACCACCCGATCCCGTTAGTCGCCTCTCACGACAAGCATAGTCGCTGATGGCTTCGAAGACCAGGCAGCTATCCTGCAGTGTCCGTTGCTGTAGCAAATCGGTGACGTAGGTGAAAAACCCGGATGAATCGGTCCTGAGCAGGAGTGGTCACTCTTGGTGTTCCATTTTTGGGACGATTTTGGGTCGAATTGAAGCGGGTGTATCAATGTCATAATCGAGATATGGTGCTGTGGTGGACGTTGAAGTGTCTTGCAACGGCAGACTGCATGGGACTCCCCTGCTCCTAAACGTCCAATGGCGATATTTCGGTCAGTAGCATTCAATTTTGGCATTTTTTATTTTCGTCTACGTGTAATTTCGTAATAAAACCATGAATTGAGTTTGGCCTTTGATAGTAGACGTCTCTGCTCAGGTGTCCAACACATTGCACGTGCATTACGTGGAAAACGTTTTCTGCATGCACTTTTCATGCATGGTTTTCATGTTTTTATTGGAAATGTTTACAAACACGTTTTTGGGATGCGCTTTCACGCAATACACAACAACCACGACATGATTAACGGGATTCAAACATAGGAATTGTCTTAATGACAATACATATATGTTAATAAATATATCCAAATTAACTGTTGAAAACGCTATGAGCTTTTTTTTTATGAGAGCACATGTATGTGTTATGATGGCTAATTCGGGCCATCGCTTTATCGCCCTGAAAAATCTAGGCGATATTGCGACAAAGCGATAGCACGACACGATATTGCGATATGGCGACACGATATTGCGATACAGCCCAAAAACGAAATAGCGATAACACGACACGATATGGCGATAGCAAGACACGATATGGCGATAGCAAGACACGACAATGCGATAACTCGACACGACATTGCGATAACACGACACGAAATGGCGATAACACGACACGAAATGGCGAAACAGCGATATTGCGATATAGCGATACGGCGATAATGCGATATAAACAGGCGACACGGCGATAGTGCGACATAACGATATGACGATATAGCGATACTGCGATAAAGCGAAATTGCGATAATGCGAAATGGTTAAGCGACATGGCGAAACAGCGATACTGCGATATGGCGATAAAGCGATATATTCATCTTTATATGAATTTGTGTGATGCGTCCATGTTGTATTTGAATTAGTATCGTATTAGTTTATGTGAGAAAGCAAAAACTTCCTAGGGATTTCACGTAATGATAATATTCGGTGTATGCAAATGGATTTTATGCAATAGTAATCTTCTATGCATGCCCATCATGAATATGGTGCTATTGTGTAACTCATCGTCTGAATCATCAAAATGCAGCAACAACCGAATAATACATACAGAAAGAAACAAACATGATCGACGAAGCACTAAAAGGTGGAGTGGTTATTATTATTTAAGACTAGATCTCTTATAGCAACTTCGGCGTCATATCACCACTAAATAAAGCACAATGGTTATCGCAATGTCGTGTCGAGTTGTTGCCATTTCGTGTTGCGTTATCGCTATATCGTGTCTTGTTATCGTCATGTCGTGTCGTGATATCGCTATTTCGTTTTTGTCTGTATCGCAATATCGCTATATCGTGTCGCCATATCGCAATATCGTGTCGTGCTATCGCTTTGTCGCGATATCGCCTAGATTTCTTCAGGGCGATAAAGCGATGGCCCGAATGAGCCACCATAATGTGTATAATGCCGATAAGACTTTCATTTCGAAGATGCGTCTGTGTTAGTGTTTGGTGGGGGTGGGGTGGGTGTTTTTTGGTGTCTGTGCCGAACATTGAAAGTACTCAATATCAGAGGTACATGTATTTGTTTAAAAACAAACTCTCTTGACATTCGATATTCAAAGAGCAGTAGACAAACGTGAGTCATCATATCTCTACCAGACGCATACAAGCAGCGGATGATCTTTCTCTTATTTTTGGTTGACGTGTAAATAGAATTGTTTATCAAACCGTTGAGAACAATCCCAAACCGGATCTTCTCCAATACCTCTGAATAATGGAGTGGTGAATGTACTTGTATCCTTGACCGACATGTTGCTATAGATAGTCGTATTTATTTATTGTTATAGAATCTGACAATACGTCGTCAGTTCTTTAATGACGTACAGTATTCCAGCTATATGACGACAGCTTGCATAACATCTAGTCCGGACCAGACAAACCCGTGATCGATATTGTGAGTAACATGAGTGAGTGAGTTTAGTTTTACGACGCTTTTTGCAATATTCCAGCAATATCACGGCTAGGGGTACCAGACATGGGCTTCACGCATTGTACCCTTGTGTTCTGAGTAACAATCTATGTCACACAAGGGCAAACATATAGTGAAAGGCCTATAGAAAATTAGCGTATTTAGTCACTTCATATGTACACCATATACTGGTCAATATAACCCGCCTTGACCCTCCACTGGCGGATCCCGACACTGTTTTTGAGACACTGTACATGTTAACCACGCCTGTGGTATTGTGGAAACACACGTGCGCATGCACAAACACGGCTAGCCCCCTTTTCAAAACCAGGATCCGCTTCTTTCGCAGCCTGTGTGAACAATATCCATATATCCATTATATATGGGGCATGCAAATGAGGCATAGCAAAGTGCAACAGTAAATTTAAAAACCCCGGATGTTCTCTTGAGTAGTAGTGAGTGAGTGAGTTAATATTTAACGTCACATCGGCAATATTTCAGCCATATCGTGACGAGAACATTCGATATTCTTGAGTAGTAGAAAAACAGAAACCTCAAGAATGTTATGTCTTTAATAAACCGATAAAAGCACGTACATAACTTTTAGGAAAATGTAAAATCTACGCGTGAAGTCTCATCAAAATCTAATGCTGATATTCGCGGATAAATATTTATTTATTGTCTTTTTGTACCAACATCTATTTATATACAAAAATGTTTGTACCTATATATGTATATAAGTGTAACGATAAAGATTAAACACACAACGTGAGCAAGATGTACATCATAGATATCAACCTCAGGTCAGTGAATTTGTCATCTCAAACAAGTTTGCTTAAAGTATCGACAACGACATTACGATATAAGGGAGACAATCACGAACTGAACCTGGATCCGGGACGTGACCAGAGAACGCTTTAACCACTATCCTTCTCCATCGGCCCCTCGTCTGTGGTTGGTTGTTGTTTAACGCCACACTCAGCAATATTGCAGCTATATGGCGGCGGTCTGTAAATAATTGACTCTGGACCAGATAAGCCAGTGATCAACAGTGTACATCAATGATGATCCTTGTGTACATCAATGATTTACCTGAAACGCTAACAAACGTCTCAAGACTGTTTGCAGGCGACACTTCAATTGGTGTTGCAGGAAAAGATGTAAAAACCATAGAAGCTACTCTTAACTATGATTTAGCAAAATTAAGTTTAACCCGAATAAGACAAAAATCATGCTTTTTAAAAATGGAAATTGTCCACAAGTTCCAGGCTTGATTTTCAATAATGAACATCTGGAACATGTACATCAACATAAAGACCTCGGTGTCATCTTTTCAGCTAATACAAAATGGTCTCATCTTGTAGTTGTTGTAATAGAAAAGGCCGCAAAAATTGTTTCCTCATTACAGACGCTAAAGTACGTATTACCTACACATATCCTTTCTAGTATGTATGAAATGTATATTAAGCCTATTATAGAATATGCATCTGATGTCTGGGATAATTGCCCTAGCTTTATTTGTGATAAACTTGAAATGTTACAACTTGAAGCAGCAAGAGTCGTAACCGGATTGCCTAAATTCGCGTCAAGATATATGTTTATACAGTGAAACTGGTTGGTTACCATTGAAAGTTAGACGAACACAAAGAAAACTCTGTACATTCTACAAAATTGTTAATATGCAAGCTCCTGATTACCTGATAGATTTACTAGCTTCCACCTTTTACTGCAACCATTTCCGGATACAACTTGCGTAACAAATCAGACTTGGCTAATCTTAAATTTCGCACGTCATGCCTATTCATCAAGTCCATTCATTATTGTTCATGTTTCTGATGGGGTGTGGGGGTGGGGTGTGGGGTGTAATAAGTTACATAATTTGTGCCCAATCCCTTTCAACATTGAATAAAATATGTTCAAGCAAACAAGCATGGGTTGGTGAAGATCAATTCTAACCCGGATCTTCACGAGCCCCTCGTCTGTGACGCGTGGTAGCTGTGTACACAGTGAGATCAGAATCCTTATCAGCATTATGATCAATACATTACAATACAGGTTTAAAACAAAACGTACTGGAAGTACCACATCGAAACAGTTTAACACGGAAAGTTAAAAACTTCCCTGATTTTTTTACGAGTATATTTGGGTCATCTTATAACAGTTTTTCGGGGTTTAATTTTTTTTAAAATAAGCATAGCTCCCAGTAAATTGGGACGTTTTGAAAACCCTTTACGTGCTTTTTACAAATCAAATAACCATATATTCATAAAAAGAAATATTTTCCTTTCAATCTCCTTGATGTACCTGAAGCGTGATATCTTCATAGTCCACATGTACCTGCCATTTCGGTATAAAATCGATTCACTTTTCGGAACGCGGATGTACAGATGCAGGCGTGAAAACTACGTGCACACCCACTATTAAAGATTTGTATGGGAACCGCCATGCATAGCGATCATATCCCATAGCATAGTATACATGATTCGAATTCCCTAGAGTTATCACGGCATTGTATATGTGGCGTTAATTGTGAGCGCTACATCTGAATGCAGCTCAATACACAACCCATGTATAATTAAGACATAAATTATTGATTAAAATGCTATCTACTAGGTGTATAAATAACTCGTGGAAAAATATGTAACATTGCATAAAAGTAGCAGCATGTTTCGGGGCTCATTAAACGCCATAAAACTGGGATTGTTACTTAACGCGATACATGGTTATATAACATTTCACACATTTCCAGCGAGCCAGCATATCTAGAGCTCTTTCTCAAAGGACGAATCAATTGTCCATCCATGTGTGAAAGTTTAGTTACTCATTCTGCCGTAGTGTTTACATACGGTCCAATGAACAGATAGGTTCTATTGCTCGTGGCCAATCACGTTATATGGCGTCACATAGTATTCTAGGTACACGGCGGGAGATATATCTCATAGCGGCAGGTGTGTTATAACGGGACGACACACTGCACTCACTTGCTTCCGTGTGATATGGAGGGTTATATACGGGTTATCATGTTTTGGAGTTATTCTTGAGATTATACCACCAAGGAGAAACGAATATGGAGTTTAATCCAAACCGTCGCTACACGAAACCAGAAGACTACACAGGCCACCCCACACCCCCATACAACCAGCAGCCCCACCCACAGAATGGTAGCCCGGGGGTGAGGACATACCCCACTGAAACAAGAGAAATGCATCACAGAAACGGCGACAACCGTGACATCAGTGAATTTGACAGACTTCGCCAGCAGTGTTTGAGAAACAGGAAATTGTATGAGGACTCGAACTTTCTTGCTGCCGTCAGTTCCTTGTATTACAGCCGACAACCGCCTTACCGTTTTGACTGGAAGCGCCCAGGGGTAGGTGGACGGTTGCTTTGTGGGCTTTTGTGGGGTTACATTATACTTGCATCGGCATCATAAACTACATTGATAACAGGCTTCAACATGAACAGCTTCAGCTGCAGCCCGTGTTGAAAGATAGTATTGAACGGCAAATATCTACCATTGTTAAATGGCAACAACCTGAGACAATATACCGTTATCGATATATTGTCTCAGCATAGTATAGAATAAGTACTTCTGAAATTATATCTCTAATACTGTGGTTATATGTAAATACAATGTACATAGTATATATTTCACCAGTGTTATAGATAAACTATCAGTCATGTATCTAAAATTACTAAGATAAGCGTCAAGATTTAGGTTAGGTCCTGTTGCAAAGATATCACCAGTCAAAAATCGCAACGCTCCGCGTGACAACTTCTGTTAACCTTTATTTTGTATTTCTTTGCATAGATACCACCATTCATACCTTGACTGACATGTGTATAGATGTACACAAAACATGGGCATTTATTACAATACGGATTGGAGTCAGGTGTGTCAGCTGAAAGCTGTCCTCTGATTTCATACAGGGTTTATCCAGGTCATGTCATCACACAGTGATAGCAGGTGGAAAACTCTAACTTGTTTATTTATGTTTTTATATGATAATTTAAGAAGAGGTAATGTTTTATGATTTTGAAAATAATAATGTCAACAACTTATGATATATTTGGGATCACACTTTCTGAGTAAAGTACAGATTCTTGTACTGTCTTGGGTTGGGGGTTGTGTGATTTAGGATTCTAACCCACTCTCTCAGTGTGAGGCACCAAAATTGCCAGCGCACATTGTCATCAGTCTAACCCACTCAAAACGATTTGTATAGCATTTTGATATTATTCTGTATAAGCTCTATCTCTTTTTACTTCTAAGTTGGAGAACTTGTTCCTATTCCTTTTCTCAGTGAATAAAATAATTTTAAAACAAAAACAAAAACAAACCCCACTCAATCACCATGGTTTCCACAAAAAAAGAAGTCTGGTAGTCTAGATAATGTACTTTGTGTACAACTCTGATAAGTGGAAATGTTGTTTAACACAGCACTCAACAATATTTCATCTATATGGCAATAATCTGTAAATCATCAAGTCTGGACCAGACAATCGCCAAAGGTGTGAATGCACAAGCTGTAGAAATGTTAGAAAGTGGACAAATGAAACATATTTGGAAATACACTTTCTCAGTAAACAACAATAATTAAAATATAAACTTATGTAATATAAAAAATAATGTTCAATTGAATTGTGTTTCTAGATGAATAATGGGTAATGAATGCGAATACTGGGTAATGAATATGAATATTGGGTAATGAATATGAATATTAGGTAACAAGACAATTAGAGGCCAGCATTTAAGATATTATTCAATATACTAAGGGAAATAAAAACAAAACATTTATGTGACCATGTTGAGAGAGAGGAAATTTGGTCTTGCCAAGGTGTAGTCGACTTGCAGAATGGGGTTGGTATGATAGTACACTATAAACACCTCAATGACCTATCACATGAGTGAAACAGATGTTGGTATTTGCTATTAATTAAACATTCAAGATCAGATGGAAAAATATAATTCATCCAAAAGGATAAATTATTTTTTTGGGTCAGAAGAATATCAGCCCTGACTCAGCACAGTGAAATCTGAAACAAAAGACATGAAATGCAGGTATAGAAGTGATCAAGTCGTGAGGACATGTTAGAATGCACTATGTTCCTTGACACATGATACACCAACAGATTAGCTTGATTGTAAACTGATAGTAGAGAGAAAAAACAGGTTGCCTTGTGGACTGTGTTAACCCAGAATCTAGGACAAATAGTGCCACTTGTACTGCAAGTGATGATAGATAGAACCCCAGATACACTGCATTGAAATACATCATCATTACCCAAATAGTTTAAGTATTGTCCGTACAAATATGCATGAAATGTTTTTTAAATCTAAACAGTATGTATTACAGCAATCAGCTGTATTTCCTCTAATAATCACCAGGTCTCTAATAAGCGCAGCGCCTCTAATAAGCGCCGGGGATAAAACAGATCACTAACAATTACAGTAATTAAACCCAGTAAGTGCAAAAGTGCCGGGCCTCTGATAAGCACCGGGTCTGGAGCTCCGTTAAAAATAAAAGCGCCCAGTGGCTTATTAGAGGAAATACGGTAGTTAACCAATGTATAGCTTGTGTACCTGCAACTCTTTACAGATACTTGTGTACTGATTGAATGCAGGTATTGCACATACATGAACTCTATGGTAGTGATTGATTTATAATTAATGTACAACAAACGTGCCATGTCTCGCCCATGTCTTATGCATTGTTAATTAGGTCTGTATATGTAGTCTATACAAGATTTTACACATTTGGGGAAGCATACAAACAGATACAAAGTAAAAGTAGAAACTTAACCCAGGAAGCTTGATTCGATGAACTTGATCCGTTGATCTGGAGCCAATGAACTGGACCAAATGAATAAACTCAAACCAATTAAATGGGTTCAAACACATTGTCTGGATTCCTGAGGTGAAACTGATTCGGTGATTTGCACAATGTTGGTCTGTTAAGGCCTACTGTTCTAATTATTAAAAGATGACAGTTTGTCTTGATTGCTGATGACCAAATAAACAATTCCTTTGTTACCATATTGGTAGGTCTAGTTGAGAGCTCTTACAAAAAATACAAATATGAAATTTGTCATAGGTATTGCTAATTATTTCAGTGTGTGTGTGTCACATAAAAGAGGTAAATAAAAAAACAACAACTGATAGCAAAGTATATTATTTAGGGACTGGTAATTTATTACAGGGAGAAGGGAGAGTCATTAAGAAATGTTAAATGTATTTGGAGGTCATCCAAATGATGATAGTCCGAAGACCAATACCATTACCCACCTCAACAAATAACATCTCTTAAATAGTTTTTGTTCAATAATAAGACATAAAAGAATCAGTTTGCTAACTACTGCTTTTTTAAAGATTTTTATTTATCAATTTTTGTTCCCAAAACACAACCATGTCCCCCTGAGATATAGCAGTGAAAGGATCCATGCTATAAAAAAATGTTTGCCTTTTGAGATTGTCAAACAGATATAGCACATCAATATGATATGGCCATATGTTAATGGTAGCACTTAACTGGTCTAGCCTGGTCTGGCTCCTGTAGTCATGCAATGCTGTACATACCGTATTTCCTAACATACATATTTCCATACATACATTTGTATTACATTATAATGTCCAGTGTATTGTCCAGCGTATAACACATCTGTTATATTATGATTTATACCCTGACCCATTCATCATCATACCTTCATGTAGGAAATGACTACTAGTGGTGTAACAACATGGCAATACAGTACTGTATCATGATATGAGAGAATATTAACTTATGAAATGAAAGAAATGTATTGGGTCACGAATCATATCACACCCATGTGATCTGGCAATGTATCACAGCCTCACCGTATCATTACACCCCTAGTGTCTTCACCATCTCCTTCATGGTTGAAATCACCGTATCCCCCTAGTGTCTTCACCATCTCCTTCATGGTTGAAATCAACAACCAATCAAAATGCCTCTTCTGAATATAAGTTCGACACAAAGCTTCAAAATCACAGCTTTGCCTAAGCAGATCTCTTTTATCGTTTAAAATCAGAAGTCAGTTTTAAATAAACTTTTAGCTGAGGACTAAAAAGCCCCAAGACATTCAGAAATGTCAAGTCTAAACACTGGTAATATCAATGCTTCTAGTCAGTGTTACATCCATGTTGTAAAAGGCAACTGAAGGGATCGAATAGTCAGACTCAAGTCGTCAGGTGACTTGATTGTGTCATCATGTCCCAGTGCTCGTGATGTCAGTCACTGGATAGTCTGGTCCAGACTTGATCATAAACATGTGGCTGTCATGCAGCTGGAATATTGTGAATATTAACAATAAACAAACATGGCAGACCATTGCTTCATTTCATCATCTGCTATTTCTCTATATGATTATAATCTGTTTGGGTTAATCAAAGTTATTTCATTACATCATACATTTTCTGTATCACAAGACCTGGTATGCTTTGGCTTCTTTCTTTAAGGTTTAGTTTAGCACTGTGTTTATTGGAGGAAGTATGGTATGTTTTCTATGGGTGATAGCTGGGTAGACAACATGTGCTGACCTATGTGTTTTAACATATCACGTGATGTCCGGACATGTGGGTTGACTTCAGTTGACAAGGTGGAGGTGTTTACAGAGTGCATTATGATCAAACATAATCAATAATGGACTTCAAGTGAGCTGTAGGTTGTGATGAACGACAGAGACATTTAAACCAGTTTACTTTGCACACGTAGGATTGTTCCAGCTATAGAGTAAGTGAATATGGTTTTTATGCCACTTTTAGCAATACTCTAGCAATATCACGACAGATGAAACCAGAAATGGGCTTCACACATTGTACCCTAGACTTGCACAAGTCTCTAAGGTAATAATTAAATTTAAATGATAATTTAAAAAAAAATAAAAAATAACAGACGGGAGTCCTTATACTGTCCGCTTATCTAGACTTGCATCTTTAAAGGATAGAATTACTATACATGCATGGGCTTAGTACTCAGTACGACCTTGGAGCAAGCCTAATTGTACCCATGTGGGGATATGAACCCAGGCCTACGGCTTGACATGGTCTTAGATTTGGGCTTGTATTTTAGTCTAATGTGGTGGTGGTGGAATTGGGTTTAACGTCGTGCTTGAGAATATTTCGCTCATATGACGTCGTGCATGTGTGTGTATGTGTATGTGCGGCTGCTTGTACCTAAGCCCAGACTTAAACTGGTTTTATAGTGCTAGCCCACTGAGATACCATGCCGCAGTGAAGCATGAATACCCCACTCAGACACATTATACTGACTCCGAGACGCCCAGTCCTTGTTGTACCCATTAATGCCGAGCGCCAGGCTGGGACCAACAAGTACCATATTTTAACGTCTT